AAACTAAAATAAAAACAACATTGTGAAATGCACACACCTTACACACTCAAACATGCACCAATACACACGCCCACCTGCATAAACGCAACTACTACCATCACACCACTAAATTTGAAAAAAAAAAAAAAAAAAAAAAAAAAAAAACACGGTAGGGTGCAAAGTCGTACTGCTCGAAATATGTACACGCCATGAAATCAAAAGTAAAGTAATAATAAAAAAGACATACTATGCACACGCTGGGATATGCACACGCAATGTAACACAAACGCACACACCCACACCCATGTAAAAAAAAATGTTGATAGTAAATGTAATATTTTTCCTTTCGTTTACTGTTTACAAATGATGGTACAGTGTAATGCACAAGCCCAACTATTTTAACGCACACGCCTAATGTTGTTCTACACACACGCCATACCACATAACTGCACACACCTACAACCTCCCAAAAAAAAAAAAAAAAAAAAAAAAAAAAAAAAAAACCCACTTACACACGCAAAACCCCCCAAATAGCGCACACAAAGACCTACCAATTGTAAACCAACTACGTGCTACATTTAAAAAAAAAAAAAAAAAAAAAAAAAAAAAAAAAAAGCACACACCAACATAAAAATGCACACGCAATATGCCATACATGCTTACACCACCATTTTATATTCTTGCCCGTGGATATGTTACAATGTTCCATTGAAAAAAAAAAAAGAAGCACGCCATTCCCCATAAATGAACAAGCCACTTGTAAAAAAACCTGTGGCCTACATGTTCCAAAGTACCATTATAAACAATTTGCAAACGTCTTTCCACATAACTGCACACACCACCCTCAATAAACAAAAAAAATAAAACAACACCATGAGGAAGAGTTGTCTTGCCAGCAAATTGCACACGCCGTTCGCCACAATTGCACATATATACAAGAACCTACGAAATTTTTTAGAACCAAAATATTTTTTTTTTAAAACACCCGCCTTTCACCATAAATGCACACACCCTACTCTTAAAAAAACGTATCGTATGTGAATTTGCACACGCGTTACACAACAATGCACAGACCTACGTAGTATTTACCTAAATTAAAATTAAAGACGCACTTACCCGCGATTTTAGACGCCATTCTCAAGCTCTGTAGAATTTGGATTACACCACCGATACTATGTTTGAATCTTTGAACACAAAATATAATTAATTCTTACTATTGATATGATCCCTAATATTATGGTAAGATTGTATTTTAATTATAACCAAAATTAAACACCATATTATAATTACTCTTTCACCCTTCTAGTTAAAATCTAGCCTTATTTAATTAGAATTTGACTTTCAATCTCATCCATCCATTGAAATTTAATTAATGGATGAGATGAGATCTCATGATCTCATTTATCTAGGCGATCTCACTGGATCCGAAGCCTATATATATATATATATATATTATATTTAATATATCTTACATTTGGTATCAAAGCCAGTCAACCTTTCAACCCCGAGATATTGTTCGTAGTGAAATATGGCTACAAATTTCAATATTGTATGGTCGGGTCCCAAATTGGACGGGAAACTCGATTACAATTATTGGCAAATTATGATGTCCACACATTTGCAAGCTCAAAATCTTTGGAGCTTTGTTGATCCCGGTCTACCCGAAGGAGCTGATGCAGCCGCTATACGGCGAGATAAATTGGCATTGGGTCAGATTCACCAAGGTGTTCATTATTCCATTTTTGGGCAATTAGCTCGTGCTCAAACAGCAAAACAAGCTTGGAACATCTTAAAGGTGTCACACAAAGGAGTCGATCAGGCACAGAAGTCTAAGTTGCAGTCGTTGAGAAGGTTGTACGATAATTGTGAGATGACCTCTACAGAAACAGTAGATGCGTATTTCACTCGTCTTATTGATATGGTGAATAAGATGAGGCTATATGGAGATACGATTGAAGATGGTGCAGTGGTTGAAAAAGTTCTTCGAACTATGCCGATGAAGTATGACCATGTGGTGGCTTCAATAACAGAGTCACACAAAACCGAGCTCTTATCAATTGCAGAGCTGAAAGGTATGGTAGAAAGTCATATTGACAGAATTGCGTCAAAATCGGAACCACTAGCAGAAGAAGCTTTGAAGAGTCAAGTCACCCTTAATGTGGCTGGCACTAATCAAAGAGGTGGAGGATCTGGTAGAGGTCGTGGAAGAGGAAGAGGAGGTTCTAGTGGAAGAGGTCGTGGTAACTCCAACCAAGGAAGAAGTGGAGGTAATACCAAACAAGGTAAATTTCCATTTCATTGCTACAATTGTGGCAAGTATGGGCACAAGATTGCAGATTGTTGGTATAATGAGGACAACAATCGTGGAAATCAAGCAAACATTGCTGAAAATACTGCTGAAAAGTCTGGTGAGAGTTCTGAAACTTTACTTTTAGCCAGCGATAGTTTTTCTGCAGATAAAAACATATGGTTCTTGGATACTGGGTGTAGTAACCATATGTGTGGGAAGAAAGAATTGTTTTCTGAACTGGATGAATCAGTCCGGTCTGAAGTGACATTTGGCAATAAGTCAAAGGTGCCAATTTTTGGAAAAAAGGTAAAATCTCTATTCAGTTGAAGGATGGTACTCAAAATTTTATATCCGATGTGTTCTATGTTCCTGAACTAGACCAAAATTTGTTGAGTATGGGTCAGCTGTCAGAAAAAGGATATAAGATACATATTACTCAGGGGTGTTGGATCCGGTGAGGTCACCTTTGGCAGGTGAGATCGTGAGGCTCGATCTTGTTCATTTATTTATATTTTTTGACGCTTCAGATTTGTTGATTTATAAGGCCACGTGCGCTGAGTTTTTTTGGAGTTAGGGGCATTGCTGTCTTTTCAGAGTCGTCAGTTCGACGTACGATCACAACGCGAGCGCCACTTACCAGCTCGCTTGCAGGATTATGTTTTGGATCATGATAATGACCTGTCTGATGAAGAAATTGTTCAATTTGCTCTCTTTGCAGATTGTGATCCTTTAACTTTTGAGGAGACTGCTACAGAAACTCATTGGCTTAAGGCGATGGATGAGGAGATACGTGTCATTGAAAAGAATGGTACCTGGGAGTTCACAGATTTACCTCCTGGGAAGAAGCCAATTGGAGTAAAGTGGGTTTACAGAACGAAATACAAGTCAGTATATCCAACTTGAAGACAGAGACATTTCTTAAATTGAAGAAGGAGATATTGGGATGACCAATACATCCAACTTGGTTTAAAGGAGGCAATGTTATAATAATAATAATATTATTATTATTATTATTAGTAATTAAACCAAGTCAAAGAATTTAATAAAAACAAACATGGGTGAGTCATGTATGTTAATGTAGAACATGCCTAGATTATAGGAGTAGTACATGGAGCATTAGCTTCCTATTTATTAGCTTTCTCTTAGTATAAATATGTGGTGTATTTTCATTTGTTAAATCATCCCAGTGAATAAACATTATTCATTCTAATCTTCCTCTCTCTCTCTTCCTATTTATATATTATTATATATAAATACATAGATATATTATATATAATATATATATTATATTTAATATATCTTACAGGGAGGGCTACATCCATCACCCGACCCACCTTATATTTTCTCCACCCATCCCCACCTTCAACCCGCAACGGGTGAATTTTTTCAAAACCCACACCCACTCTTACCGGGTGCGGGTACCCACTACGGATACCCACCACTTATCATCTTATTATGTTTTTCAAAAAATAATATTTAAATTACTTACTTACACATAATAAAATAATAAAACTCATTAGTTCTAAGTCTGTTAAGAGACATGCAACTTGAGCTAGTTTGAGCTTAGGTCCAACCGTCCAAAGCCCTTAAGCTTGATAAAACACAAGAAATTTTATGTCAAAATCATAAATATTAAATTAAATTGTGAGAGTTAATTCCATTTTTTGCCATAGATTTATAAGTGAGAATTCACTTTTAGTTATTTTTTATCAGAAAATCTTCATTGTCCTAGTATTATTGTGGCAAGACCATTTTAATTTTGTCATCTGTCAAGAAAATCATTGAAATGCAGTTAAATACAAGGACATTTAGATCTTTTTTATACAAAGTAGGTTAACCCGCTATATTGTTTATGCCTTTTTTTTTTTTTGAAAAAAAAAAAAAAAAACAAAATTGAAGATTGAAATATTCTTGCATTTGACGAAATTTAAACTGTTTTGTTGATGGAGGACAAAAACTGGTCATACTACAATAATACTATGATCAAAAGTGAATGTTTTAAAAAAAATGACTAAAAGTAGACTACCACTCATAAATATAGAAACAAAATGAAATTAATTCTAAATTGTGATATACTAAACTACATCAAGAGTTGTAACTACATTTAGGCAGTAATTTTTTTTAATTAAAAAATCACTTTATTAGTTCAAAATAGCATCACGTAATGAAAATATAACCAACTTTTATTGTATTGAATTTAAGTTAAAAGTAAAAGCTTTTTTAAAAAATAAAAAATAAAAGTAAAATAATCAAAATGAATGATTATAAGTGAACAAATCACTATAATCCAAAATCAAAATTAGAAAAAAATCAAAATAAAATTATGGTGCATTTAATATTTGAAAAGCGAAAATATCACTATAATCTCAGACTCCAAGATCAAAATTAGAATAAAATCAAAATAAAATTATGGTGCATTTAATATTTGAAAAGTGAAAATATCACTATAATCCTAGACTCCAAGATCAAAATTAGAATAAAGCATATTACATTTAATATTTTAATTTTAAATGTTATTCTAAAAAAAATTTCTTGTTAAAAAATTGTAGTTGAATCCCACAATTATAATGTGCAATTGAAGTGTGTCCTTCAAAGTAATGAAGCAATCAGAGTTAGAAAGGCCAAAACATTCCATTCACCCAAAGAAATCAAAATAGGAAAACGCCAAAACAGAATCTTTGAAAACAGTACAACATATGTGTCGCCGTGTCGGCATCCAACGTTAGATTTCCATTAAAATTCACAACATCAAATTCTTTTATCGCCTGAATCATTGTCATTGGTCTTTCCTCTCCCCCCTTCTTTTTTATTATTATTATTTATGTAATTTCCTTTTTCCTCTCTTCGCTGGATCTTCCGTCGGAGAATTCGAGGTCACTTCCTTGGGTTTTTCCGGCGGTTCGAGCAGAGAATTTGTCTGTACGGATAGCGTATGATATATACAAGCACAGACGGGGAGCTTAAAGCTGGAATCTTGAAGAGAAATGGTGCTCACAGTGTTTACATGGCGCTATGGAGGTCGTGAAGTCTATCTTTATGGTTCCTATAATGGGTAATTTTTCATTTCTTATTTTCTCTGTTGTTTCTCTTGCATGGGTATGTATGTATCTATATCCGTATATGTGTGTGTGTGTAAAGACTGTGATTTTGGTTGGTGTAGGTGGGGTGATAGAACAGTGATGAATTTGGTGAATGGTTCCGCCATGGCTTTTAGTGCAGCTATTGATCTTCCCCCAGGTTATCATCAGGTATGATGTAAATTGCATTTCATGAGATTGAGAGTGAATTAACTATGAATCATTGTGAAAAATTCGAACATCTTATGTTATAGTCACAAAAAAATATTGGATTTTGAATTGGAGGATGTTAATTGCTATGCTGTTTTTTAGGATTGTAATTTTGTATTGGAGTGAGGATATGAATTGAATTCCCTGGAGAGTTGGCCAAAATTTATTTGATTGGTTAAGATTTTAGGGTTTTAATCAAGTGCAGTTTAGAGGCAGCTGGAATTCTAGTTATAAGTTGTTCTAACTTTTGTTTGTTTCGAATTCTGTGTCACGGTTCTGAATGTGTAATGCAGTATAAATTCTTGGTTGATGGCACATGGCAAGTTGACGAGGAACAGCTTCGTGTTATTGATGAAAATGGTGTTATCAACAACTTAATTTTTGTTGAGGAACCGAGCGTTAATGCTCAGAGATTACCCCCTGAAGCTGTTCGGAGTACCTTGGACTTGGATAGCATAAGAGATATGCAGCTTGAGGTCACTGCTAATATATACTACTAAAAACTTCTTCCCGTCATATACTTTGTACTATTGTAGTCTCTACTCCTTCCTCGAATCCTTTCCATTCCATTGCTCAAATTTATAGATCTCATCCTTTGTGTTATTTTTTACAGAATATGATTGTTTACTTTTTTTGTAAGCGTCTGAATTTCTTATTGATTCTTTTACTACTAGGCTTCATCTTCAGGTGTACTACCAAATGGTCGAATTCTGCAATTACCAGAAGACAGAACAGATGCATCACGCCATCGTCTATTTGTGCATTTATCGTCCTTTAAAGCACATGATTTGATGCCCTATTCTGGAGAGGTCCGTGTATCTTCCTACTGCTTTAAGAAAGTGTGTTACTTTTGATATGGTATCAAATGAGTTAATAACATCTAAGGTCCTCCGAGTATAGTAGTTTTGCCACATTTAGTCTTAAACTTTCAAATTAGCCATATGTGGTCATTCGACTTTCAAATTTAACCATTCATGGTCCAAGTTAACCACTCATGGTCCTTTAACTATTAAATTTTAACCAACCATGGTCCTTTCAAGAGGACCACGACTGGTTAAATTTTGAAGCTTGAAGGACCATGAGTGGTTAACTTGGACCATGAATGGTTAAATTTGAAAGTCGAAAGACCACAAATGGTCAATTTGAAAGTTTAAGACTAAACATGGCAAAATCGCTATATTCAGAGGACCTCAGATAGTGTTAACTCGGTATCAAATTTACTTTGATTGACCGACCATCTTGTAATTTCTATAGGCCATTGCCTTGGATACTGAAGTGGCAGTGAAACAGGCTTTTCATATCATGTATCAGCAGGTTTGATTGTCTATTCCCCATCTGCCTGGATTTTCTGTTTGTAACAAAGAACAGTGTACCTCAGATATGAGATTAGTGTACTGTTTACAAGTAATTCCAAATTCCTCGTTGTCTCTTGGAACGGGACATGCCAGAAAAACAATAGTATTACTGTTTGCAGGTTTGGTTGGATCTTCTTTAATATGTTTTCCTATATTGGAGGTATCTTAAAACTGTGAACTCATCAGGTCATTCAGAAACGATTAAATAATTAATGAAGTGAAAAAATAAATAAATAACACCGAGAGAGAGAGAGAGAGAGAGAGAGAGAGAGAGAGAGAGATTGGAACAGAAAAACTTTTATTGATTGATCATATTTTTTTCTTGTTATTGTCATTATTTGACTTATTTAGGAAATAAAATCTTTAGGGGCTTCCTGTCATGCCTCTTTGGGATGCGCAGAACTCGAGGATTTCTGGAATGCTAACTGCTTCAGATTTTATTTTGATTTTACTCGAGGTAAAAATTTAATTAATATAATTCAGAGCTTCTGCGGACTACTCTCGCTTTCTCTTTTCCTTTTCTCTTCCAATATTTGAGCCTTTGGTTTAAGCTATAAAGCCAAACCAAAATGAGAAGTTGCATCAAACCGTCACACATTCTCGAACATTTTGGCTCTGATACCACTTGTTAGGATCAAATGCTTACCACCTATGCCAAAAGCTATAGCTAGTAGTCAAGGCGTAACTTTATTTCTGTTAAGAAATAAAACTCTATATATTTCTCTTACTTCACAAACTACACACACAGCCATATATATACATGCTAACAATGTAGAAGACCCTTCACACCCCTACTTTACTATCCATGGCCCTTCACATCCCTTTGACTTTTCATATGCCTTGGCCCTTCATATCCCTACTTTATTCACTTCTAACAATTTCCTTATACCGCCACGCATTTTCGAGACGGTAGGTTTTGACATGGCCTTTACCGGCCTCCGCCCAACATGAATGTTAGTTATTTACCTTTCAAAGTCTTCTTGTTTCCCTGGCCAGCTTCATCAATTTCGTGCTTTGCTGACTGATGAAGAACTTGAAATGCACACAATTTCTTCATGGAAGAATGATAAACTTCAGTATCAAAGAGATGTGGCTGGGGCTTTCTTACCGCTTCAGAGAAGGGAATTAATCCAAGTAAGTCATTCTGTGTTGATGATTTTCCTTTACTCGTCTTATATATACTTGGAATAACTTCTTGGCCAGTATTCCAACCTATATATTTTTGTCCAATCCAATAATGTGAGACTGTTTTACGTACGGTTCTTATTCTTCTGGGTCGATCTTCCTATTTCCTACCTGCATACAGGTTGGGCCAGATGATTCTTTGACAGATGTGGCTTTGACAATATTACGGAATGAAATTTCTTCAGTTCCAGTTATATATTCGCCGGAAGATGGATTTTGCCCTCAATTGCTGCATATTGCATGCCTTGCTGGAATATTAAGACGTATGTATTCTTTCACCGAGGCTCTTCTCTATTTCTCTAGTTCTCGTGTCCTCACCCTCGCCTTTTTTCCTTGCAAAACCTTAGACATATGCTGGCATTTTAGGCACTCCCTTGAGTATCTGCCGCTTCTGCAGCAATCCATTTGTAATCTTCCCGTGGGTACCTGGACAAGAGAATTTGGGTGGGCGAATAACCGGACATTGTTAACATTACATCCCAGCAGTTCTCTCGGTTGTGCTCTTAATTTATTAATTAGAGGTATTACCTATTTATGTTCTTTCTGAAAATGTTTCAAATCTTATATCATATACTGCTTCTATTGAAAATATATAGTCCCAGGATCAGTTTCTGAAAATCCTGTTTGGAATCATTGCGTTATTAGATATATACTACGTGGGATCTTAGCATTGAAAAGATTTCCTAATTCATAACGTCTCTAAGAGAAACCTTTGAGTTCGCTCAAAAAGTTATATTTACTGCCACCAGCTTATTGCATTGCATGTTAGCTTTAAAGCAAGTTAGTTTCTTGGTCTTTTATGTTTAGAAATTTTGATATGTAATATAATGTAAGCATACATCATGGATCCATATTTATACTTGTATCTTTTGTTTTCTTTTTGACAGCTCGGATAAGCTCAATACCTATAGTTAATGATAACGGGGTCCTAATAAACATATATTCTCGGAGGTAACGGATATGCTACCAAGTTCAAGTATCAGTTATGAGCTTTAATTTATTTCATATCATATTACACTAATATAATACAAATTGATAAATTTAACCTGTCTTTGAATAGTGATATTACCTCTTTGGCCAACGGCAACGTCTATGCTCACATTCAACCTGATCAAACAATGCTGTCTCAGGTATATTCCAACCAAATATTTAGTTCGATACTCTTAAGAAATTATTTTTCACCATAAAAATGTTGGGTTTATTCTTTACCTGTTCCCGGCACATGAAATTACAATTGCCAAGAGTTAGAACAAGAAGTGTATAAGCTTTTAAATTGGCGATATTTCCATGAAAAGAAATTACGTATTCATTTTTAAGTTGCTAAACTGAGAAACGAGAATCGGGGGTACAGGTGTTAAATGAAGCAGGCCATGATCGATACCGGGTGTGCACACGCTTTGCTTCATTATATACAGTCATGGAGGTCCTCTCTGACCCAGGTTCGTATGTATAGTATGGCACGCTTGATTTCCTCCCCGAATATTTCGATCTGTCGTGTTTCTAAATGGTCATTTGCGCTCATATTTCAGGTGTGCGCCGCATTTTTGTGATTGATGGTATTACCCGGCGCATTGAAGGCATAATCACGCTAAGAGATGTGTTCAATCTGATTTTAAGCTAATATTTTCTTGAATTGGTGTTTTTGAAGCTGATATAGACATAGACTGAAATAGCAGGCCGGTAAAAGTGGTATATTTTTCCAAGTTTCAAGCTTTAGGTATACTGGTTTTACTGTCTGAAATAGCAAGTGACTTAATTGTGCCAATGATTTTGGTAGAGTGTTCATTTTTATGTTAAGTATACTTGAATTCTATAGAAAATGAACAAATTTAAACTTCCTTTTTCTTTTTTTGGAGGTATATTTGAAGATAAAAAGCGTTTGAACTTAAGACCTACCCGGCATGTTTGGTTGTGGTAAATTGTAATTCCTTTCCACTTAATTCCAAGAAGTGAGAATTTACAAATTTAGTTGGAAGGAATTACAATTTTATGAAATTACAATTCTTCAAATTTGTGAAATTGCAAATTTTATATCCTTTAGGAATTGCGATTCCATAATACATGGGAAGAAAGTTTGGAATGTGAATACTAAATTGCATTCTCTAATAATCATACATCTTTTTTTAGGAATTGTAATTACATAGATATTTTGATCGTTATATTACTTATTCCTTTTCAATTTTCATATATATCAAACAATATAATTGAAATTCTTAATAATTTTAATTCTGTCTATCTACAATTCTTACTTTATTTATTTTCCATCCACTTATAATTCATATCCCCTAATTCAATTCCCTCCAACCGCATGTCAATTCTTTGTGAATAGATAAGTGTGTTATTCATGTTTGGAGAATATTTATTCAATGGAGAGTCATTTGCATGCTAATCATAATAATGTCAAATATTAAAAAATAAAAAGTGATTAGTATGTTTTGTAAAATAATTAAATTTAATTTATTTCTTCACTTTTATCAAATTTTAGTAGGTATTAGGCTTTATTTATCACTATAATATTCTTTTTTTATGCTAAGGAAAATCATAGTCACTATTCTAAAATGTGCAATAGAAAAATTTCGCTCTTAAAAAATCAGTCAATTAGTCTTCTTGTCATATTATTATATTTGAAATTTACTTACTATTTTCTCTATATTCTTATAAGAGAAAATGACACGTTTTCTCCCTGTGCTATATACTTATAGCACTTTTCTCCCTGAATTATTTAAGTGGCTATTTTTATCCGTGATATGTTAAATGGATATATTTACCTTTAAAATAAATATTTCATTTATTTTTCTTCTCCAACAAATTATAACCACGATTTGGTTCAAACTGAACATACACTATAGCAACCAAACAGAAAGGTTCTGATGACAATTTAGAACTGGAACCCGATATTAAAGTTTATTAAAATCCCGAATCGAAACTGCCAGTTCATGTTCTGAATTGAAAAAAATAAAATACATCATTTGTTGAATTTAGAATATTTTAAAAATAAAAAATAAAATTTTAACAGAAAGTTTGAACTGGCAGTTAAAATTGGATCCAAAATCGTGAACTGACGGTTCAAAATCAAAACAAAATCGCGGTTATATATACTTATATGTGAGAATCAGAATAAATGCAAAAAAAGAACACACACTATTTACAAATATTATAATTTCAATTTTAAGCTAATGTAGTAATTGTTCTGATTTGAACCTCTGATTCACGGTTTACGATTCAGGATCCAGTTTTTTCAGTTCACGATTTTAATAAACTGAAACCCAAATATTGGGTTCTGATTTTGAATCATAACCGAAAAATTTTAATTTGATTGCTATAGTGTCCGGTTCAGTTCGAACCGAACTGTGGTCATCCCTACGTAAACAATAATTTGTTGAAGAAGAAAAATAAATAAAATATTTATTTTAAGGGTAGAAATGTCTATTATTATTATTATTATTATTATTATTATTATTATTATTATTATTATTATTATTATTATTATTATTATTATTATTATTATTATTATTATTATTATTATTATTATTATAAATGGACATTTTAAAAACAATTTGGAACCTATGGTCCCTCGAGTTTGGTGGTATCGCCATCAATGGTCCCTAACTTCCGTAATTACCATCTGTCATCCTCCGAGTTGTCAAAAGTTACCTTCTAGCGTCCTTCCGTTACTTCCTCCCGTCTCAGCCGTCAAAATGGAGGGTAATATTGTCATTTGACTTATACAAAAAGAGTTAATACCAGCCAAGGTCCCTCGAGTTTGGTGGTTTGGCCATCTTTAGTCCCAAGTTTCCATATTCCATTATTTTCCTTCTTTCATATTCTCTTCTTCATATGTATTATTATTACTATTATTTATTGTTATTATTAAATTCTTATTATTATTACTATTATTTAAAGTTATTATTGTTATTATTAAATTATTATTATTGTTATTGTTATTACTAGTATTTGTCCCGTGCGATGCACGGAAAATATGTTATAAAAATATATCCTATATGAGGTTTATTCATATATAAATTTTTTGTTATTTAATAATTATTATGTGTGAATTCCTATGATAAAATTATGAACATAAATATTTTTTTTTACTGGCTCTATTACAATGTAGTATAGAACCAATACCTTCCAAATGAAAGTCCAACCCGGGTACCATTATGAACATAAATATATTTACAATTAAAATAATATTTAAGATGGGTGATTACTACAAATGTTAAACTATATTAAAAATTTAGTACATAGTATTTAATATTACAAATTTTTAAGAACTTAGTAAACTACAATAGTAATTGAATTACAATTTTAGAGTCACCAAAGATCAAAATTTTTAGACCTTTGAAATTTCTAACTCTAAATGTAACAACATACAATTGACCTTTAAAAGACCAAACAATCACAATCTTAATTAGTTCGAACATTGATTTTTTCTTCCAAATATTATCGAATTAAGTGCGTAATCAATAAAAGATGAGAACTAATAATTCGAGAATATAATCTTAATGTTACTAAGCCTACTTCACGTCAATTAAGTTGGAGAGTGTTGTTGGATATAGTATCCGATGAATCCACGAATAACGCATCGTTGTCTCCGTAGTCCTCGATATGCACATCAACAATCATAAATATTAATTTCAAACTTATGAAGTGGTGTGCATGCATGGGTCTTGTGAAAATTAAATGGTGTTAATACAAACATTTAACCATTAATATCAACATTTAATTTTCACAACACCATATAGCTTTATTATAGTTATAGATAGATAGATAGATAGATTATATTATTAGCATTAAATTATTATTATTATTATTATTATTATTATTATTATTATTATTATTATTATTATTATTATTATTATTATTATTATCATTATTATTATTATTATTATTATTATTATTATTGGTGGTTTGGCCATCTTTAGTCCCAAACTTGGCCAAACAATATTAAAGAAAGTTGGTGGTTTCTCAACTTCCAACTCGAACTTCCTCTTCTCCTGTACAATATTAAAGAAAATTTACAAATGTATAGGGGTCGTTTACTTCATTTATCTGTTTTTCCATTTCCAATTTTTCATTTCTCCATTTCTCCAGTTTTCTTTCTCCATTTTTCCAGTTTTCCTTCTCCATTTTTTCAGTTTTCCATTTTTCCATTCCTCCAGATTTTTATTTCTCTAATTTTCTGATTTTATTAAATACACTCATCCTATATAGCATTTGCACATTTCTACAACAACAACAACAACAATAATAATAATTTAATAATTTAATAATAATAATAATAATAACAATAAATAATAGTAATAATAATAAGAATTTAATAACAATAACAATAAAAATAACAATAACAATAATAATAATAATAATAATAATAATAATAATAATAATAATAATAATAATAATAATAATAATAGTAGTAGTAGTAGTAGTAGTAGTAGCATTTGTACATTTCTACAACAACAACAACAACAACAACAACAATAACAACAACAACAACAACAATAACAACAATAATAATAGTAATAATAATTTAAAAAAATAATAATAACAATAAATAATAATAATAATAATAATAATAATAATAATAATAATAATTTAATAATAACAATAACAACAATAATAATAATATGAATATAATAATAATAATAATAATAACAACAACAACAACAACAACAACAATAATAATAATAATAATAATAATAATAATAATAATTTAATGTTAATAATATAATAATAACAATAACAATAATAATAATTTAATAATAACAATAATAACTTTAAATAATAGTAATAATAATAAGAATTTAATAATAACTATAAATAATAATAATAATAATACATTTGAAGAAGAGAATATGAAAGAAGGAAAATAATGGAATATGGAAACTTGGGACTAAAGATGGCCAAACCATCAAACTCGAGGGACCTTGGTTGGTATTAACTCTTTTCGTATAAGTCAAATGACAATATTACCCTCCATTTTGACGGCTGAGACATGAGGAAGTAACGGAAGGACGCTAGAAGGTAACTTTTGACAACACGGAGGATGACGGATGGTAATTACGGAAGTTAGGGACCGTTGATCGCGATGCCACCAAACTCGAGGGACCATAGGTGGTATTTACTCTACAAAAGTATTATTTGAAAAAAAAAATTGACAAATGTATTTTTGAATTGCAAGTAGGAAAATGCTATTTACTCCTCTTAAATTTCACTTAATATTTTATTTCGTGATGTGGCTCATATTTATTGAAAGTCACTTCATATCATTAGACCACAAGATTATTAGCACACACTTTTAATTAAATTAAAAATAACTAAATAATTCAATTAAGTACCAGGACTATGTGGTCTAATGGTACCCGGGTTGGACTTTCATTTGGAAGGTTGTGAGTTTGAGCCTCAGTGGAGGCGTTATTGGTTCTTTCTGTTTCAGTACTAATAATAATTCAATCAAGAGATTAATTTTGGAGGGAAGTTTTTAGTAGGAGTATATAAGCATTACTCTTCTAAGTAAGAATATCTCTAATAATAAAGTTAGAGATTTGACTTGAGTTTTTTGTGTGGGTAAGCTTTGAGGGGGGGGGGGGGGGAGTTAAAATATGATATTTTTAATTAGGTGTTTACTACTCAAAGCGCTTGTCAGCACTCAGCAAACAAGGGCAAAAATCTACTCACTTTGGTATGATCTTCACATTGTCATTGGCAAGTTTCGAACTTTAATTTCTTCTTTAATGTACTACTTATTAAATTAGTGAACTAAACTCGTACGAGCAACTCTCGCATTCTCTCTGCTTCGGCACATAGTCTGTTCTGTCCCTCGCATTCTCTCTGCTTCGGCACATAGTCTGTTCTGTCCCTCGCATACGCTAAAAATCTAATGAAAATCTCTCATTAGGATACTCTAATGCAAGCTTTCATTCCAAGTGAATTCCTTTTCATTAAATAACTCATTGCAATTCCCTCTCTTATGGAAAAACATGATTTCACATTTCTTACGATTTTTAATATTGATCAGTTGCTATAATCAATATCGTGCTATTTTCTAATATAGTTATAAATCAAATTTTATTAGGTCATGCACGTGACATAATTTTTTAAAGGCAAAAATATCTGGTCTTGCGGATGAGTGGATCCTTATTTGTGAGACGAGTGAAGTTTTTTATAAGTATTACATTTTTTCCATGATTAATGTTACTATTTGTTCATAAGTAACTGTTCAACCTCTAATATTGTAATTTGATTTAAAAGTATTTCATTTTTTATTAAAAATATCATATTTTTCCTAATAAGTATTATACACTTTCCTCTTATGAATAAAAATCAATCAATTTTATTTTCAAAAAAAAAAAAAAAAAAAAAAAAAAACAATCAATCAATTTACATTTTGATTTAAAAATATTACATTTTTTTTTTCCAAAATCCCTTATAAGAAACAAACAATTTAATTTTTTTTTATTAATATTACACTTTTCAGCATAAGTATTACATTAACATCTTGACCACCCCTTCTTAAATAATGTAAAACACTGACTTTGTATTTAAAAATGTAAAATACTACATGTACTCCTATTTTCTAGCCCGAACTTTTACTCTCACACACAAAATTTTGATGTAGGCACTCATATTGGTACTCACATAAAAAAAGGAGTAAATACCCAAAATGGTCCCTCGACTATAGCTAAATTCACAAATTGGTCCTCAACTTTCAATTTCACCCAATCAAGTCCTTAACTTTGTAATTTTAACACAATTTGGTCCTCTGTCTATTTGAGCGTTTGTTGACTGTGATTTTTGAGGATATATATGTAATTTCATGGTCCATCGTCGGTTTTTTAAGGTTTCGGTTGCATTTCCAGACCGCAATGTTACATTTGAATCCACTGTAGAAAGTAATCTACCAAACCCGGTCACCTTCTTCATCCTCCCTTTGGATTTAATGTAGTTGAATTCGTACCAGAGCGAAGAAGACGACGTGTTTCCGAACTGGTGCAACGTCATCCTGGAGGACTCCACGTGCTCCGACGAGAGCTGAAGGTTCTTCTGGAGATCGTCGATCACGGTCAATTAGATGGAGGACCAAATCGTGTCAAAATTGCAAAGTCAAGGACTTAATTGGGTGAAATTGAAAGTTGATGACTAATTTGTGAATTTAGCTATAGTCGAGGGACCATTTTGGGTATTTACTCTAAAAAAGTAACCTATAAGTGTCCACTACATCAGGGAGTAAAATTTAATGAGTATAATTTGAGAGTCTATGTAGTAGAACTCTTTAAAAATAAGATGCTAAACACTTATATAACTATTAGTCATGAAGAGTCACTCTTGATATGATAAAGTGTTGCCACATTCATGCAATAACTATCTAAACATACCACATAATAAATATGCAATTTTCACATCAAGAACTCTTTTTTGTGAGTGATAAATATAAAGGTGTGTAATATGATCCTTAAAATTATACACTTTTATCATGTCACCATGTGTTACGTGGTCATCGAAAAATAGGAGGTGGTAAATTTTGGTCAACAAATTAAGAAAAATGTTTTTAACACCAAATATTTTATCATTTGATAAGTTTTGATAAAAATCATAACTCTTCATATTTATATATTATGTACACCAATCGTTCAAAATCACAATGAGTTATATAAAATAATAGAGTTAGTCCCCGGAGCTATAGTCGGTTCGTCGCTTAACTTAAAAGGTCATGACTAGAGGTGGCGATGTAGAGCGTTCAAATCCATTGAAAACATGTATGTAAAAAATGCCTAAGAATGATGAAAGGTCTTGGATTGGATCCCTTGTACACACATGAAGATTAGGATCTGACCCTGTAGGCTGATTATGACGAAGTTGAGATCACCTAAGTCTTTTTTTTTTTTTTTTTTTTAAATAAAGTTAATTCTATCTTTTTAAGTGAAGTAAGAACCCTTAAGGCAGTCTATGTCGTTAACTTAACCCAAAAGGGATTTATCTCCCCACTTCTATCAACAAACTTCTGTCAATTTGGAGAGTCCACTCACTTTGCCACCGCAGTGGTAGTTTTAAATCAGGTGGTCCATCACTTAGCTATCATTATTGTATGGATCATGATCCACACAAGTTGTATGGACTATATTTTGTATACTGTAAAATAATATACATTCAATACAAAAATAGTGTACATTGTATTCAGGAGATGTACATTATATAATGTACACCCAGTACAAAAATAATGTACATTTAATATATTAAAAATGTACTTTTTGATATTGTCCGAGTAACTAATTTGCCTCTCCCAAGATATAAAGCTTTCTTTCTATATGATACAATTCAAATGAATCAAACTGCAACCACCATTCTTCTTTATGCTTCTCCCACCATCTATCACTCTCCTAATCTTCACCAACTCATCCCAACGCTCTGTATTGGCATAAACATTTGCCAGTATGGAGTAAGCCCCTCCATCTTCAGGCTTCATCTCCATTACCCTCTCAGCAGCTTTCTCTGCAACCTCCACATTCCCATGCGTCCTGCACCCTCCAAGCAAACCCCCCCACACGAACACGTCCCCCTTCATTGGCATTCCCTCTATCATCTCCATGGCTTCCTTGATCAAGCCTGCGCGTCCCAGCAAGTCTGCCATGCACCCGTAGTGCTTCAGCTCTCGGGGGACTCCATAGACGCTCTCCATCTCCCCGAAAAGCTTCCTTGCTTCGTCAACAATGCCTGCATGGCTGCAGCCCACTAGCACTCCCAGGAAGGTTACCCCGTCAGGTGTTGTGCCAGAAGCCACCATTTGTGAGAAGTAATCGAGCAGCGATTTGCCATGACCATGCATGGCTAATCCAACAAGCATGGCATTCCATGTGAAGAGATTTTTTTCGATACATGTCTCGAACACCTCCCGAGCTGCCTCTATGCAGCCGCATTTGGCATACATGTCGACCAGGCCAGTGGCCAAGTATGCATCTATAAAGACTCCATTTTGCTTGATATGATTGTGTATGTTCATTCCTTTCTCTAACTCCCCCAGCTGCGAGCAAGCTGAGAGAGCCGAAACCAATGATGTATTACAAGGTTTCAGAACATTCAAGTCAAGCATTTGATCGAACAGGCTGATAGCGTCCCTGCACTGGCCCATTTTTGCATAGCCTGCAATAAGGGCACCCCAAGAGAACGTGTCTCTCACAGGCATTTCATCAAACAACTCCCTCGCCTTCCCCGTCTCGCCGGCTTTAACAAACCCATCAATCATCACATTATACGAAACCACATCTCTGTCACAACTTTCATCGAACACCTGAAACGCATCCTCAACTCCGCCGTTCAAACAGTAGGCATGAACAAGATTATTGACCACATACACATCCACCAAGAACCCAAATCTCAGGGCTTGACAATGGAGCGCCCGTGCAAGAAAACTCGAACCCAAAGAAGCACAGGCCTTGAGCACAAAAGGGAAAGTATGCGAGTCAGGGGGGACGCCGGATCTCTGCATTTCAGTAAAGAAGCCGAGGGCAGTAGTGGGGGAAGAAAGAAGGGCGTGGGATCGAATGAGGGTGTTGTAACAGAAGGAAGACGGGGTGCGAATGAGGTTGAAAATGGCGGTGGCGTAGTTAAGGTGGGTGGCAATGGAGGGTGTAGAGGCGGGGAGGGGAAGGAGGGAAGTGAAGGAGTGGAGGATTTGGGTGAGGAGAGGAGTTTGGTTGAGCGGAGAGAGGCAGCCATTGGTGAGGGCTTGAGCTTGGAGTTGGTGGATATGTGATATGGTGTTGCATTTGAGCTTGAGAATGGTGATGAGACGCCATGATTGCTTGCAGATTAATCGCGTATTCAGATGATGAGGACACAGAGCCACCATTATAATTCCTCCATTCGGATTTCATGTTTGCCTTTCAAGAACACAATCCCCAAAAATAAACGAAGGCGGCATGCCTGTAAATCAAAAATTCAAAACAACAAAGGAAGAGGCGAAAATGGGGAGAAGTTTTAATTCCTCGCTCCGACGGCCCCCCACAGAGACCGGGAATGGGTTACAAGGTCTCTAGGAAGACTAAGAGAAATAAAAGCGTGGACGGCAGGATTCGAACCTGCGCGGGCAAAGCCCACATGATTTCTAGTCATGCCCGATAACCACTCCGGCACGTCCACCCAGTTGTTACTTTAATTATAAACATATCAATATTAGCTTACATCTTGCAACCATGGGTCAAAGTACCTATGAGATTACTACCGTGTTTTGTCCAATTTAGTCATTGTACTTTTCTTTATAAAGTGGTGCAATTAAGAACAATAGTTAACGTGTTAATATTACAGTGGTGCAATTATGACGAGTACTCTCTCCATCCCGTCCCCAAAAAATATATATGTATATAAGTATATAACTATATACATAAGCCCCAAAACGCATATATATATATATATATATATATATATATATATATATATATATATATATATATATATGTGTGTGTGTGTGTGTGTGTGTGTGTGTGTGTGTGTTGCTACATATATAATATACTAGTCTTTTTTTATGTGCAATGCACAAAAACATATGCACAATATTTATATTTTTAAAAATAACTAACAAATCATTACTAATACTAAGACTGTGTGGTCTAATGGTACCCGGGTTGGACTTCCATTTGGAAGGTTACGAGTTCGAGCCTTAGTGGAGGCGTGAGAAAGTATATGAATAGATATTACAATGTAATAGGGCCAGTAACATTCAAAAAAGAAAAAAAAAATACATCATTACTAATTAAAATCTATATGAAATCAAATTTATTTATTATATTAACCCAATATTTATTGTCTACAAATATTATTATCATTAAATAATATAAGAAACTATATTATATATATTATGGATATATGTGCATGGTAACACTAAAGGGAAAGATAATGAAAGTTATAACGGTAGGGGTATTTTTGTCTAAAAAATTATATAATACAACTCTAGAAGTACAATGTACAAAATGATTAGCACTAAAAATCTTAGGCAGAAGGGTCAAATAGAGCCATGTACTAACATTGATTATTCATCTAGCACCATGAACTAAAATATGGTCCATCTAGGCCATTATACTCTCAATTATTTTTCGTCTAGCATTTTTAGCAAGTTTCTAACAAGTAACACATCTAATTTTCTTAATTACATGGAAAAATAAAATAAAAACAAAATGCTGACTTGCTCTTTTTTCATCTAACTTGCTGTTTTTGTCACTTTTTTTAGCAGAAAAATTCAAATTTTTTTTTTTTATGTATTTCCAGATTATGTTGATTTGTTATATCGCTTGAAAGATTCCAACTCCTTCTCTGTTGTGAGTGTTGAGTGTGAAAACATGTAGGGGTATTCTAAACGAAATGCATCCATACTATTGTTACCATAAATTTGCCCTGCAAAATGTATATTTTTGTCGGGGAGGGGTACCCATCGCGTGGCCGCTTCCCTCGGGGACATATGGCAGTCTCATTTCTTCGTTGTCTATCTCTTTCTCTTTCCAGTGCTGCGCATTATACCTCATAATGCGAAGTTCCTTAGCTTTTACTTCAGTTAGATTGTAGCTGCATCTAGTAAAAGCAAACATATTCTTTTCGTATCTACACTCAGAAGTCGGTTAATTAAGTTACACCTCAAACATTAAATCAAAAGGCGTGTTAGTTATTATACCTCAAATGAAGAGCAATATACAAATCATCGTTGTCACTTAGTCTATTGACGAGCTTTTTTCCAAGCTCCTCCATCTCAAGTGTTTACTGAAGAGCCTCATAAACGCACCATCCAAAATCAAAATAAAAATCAATGCCAATAAATGGGTTCAAAAGCCACAAAAGCGGTAACATACTTATTTCACAGCCGATGGGAAAAATAGATTCACTATTTTTCTAAAAAATTCGTTGAAGAAATCAACATAATCTGAAAATATGTAAAAAAAATTAAATTTTTCTACCAAAAAAAGTGACAAAAACAGCAAGTTAGATAAAAAAAAAAATAACATGTTAGTGTTTTTTTATTTATTTTATTTTTTCAAGCAAATTAGATGTGTTACTTGTTAGAAACTTGCTAAAAATGCTATATGAAAAATAATTGAGAGTATAATGAACCTAGATGGACTATAATTTAATTCATGGTGCTATATGAACAATCAATGTTAGTACATGGGTCTATTTAACCCTTCTGCCAAAATCTTATCTTTATTTTAACTATAATCTTATCTTCTTAACTATAGTAAAGCTAAATGATCTTGTGAAAAATTCCCGCCCAATAGAAACGACAGCGTTTTGATATGGACAAAATATTAAATGAAAGATTGATTAAAGATGGAAATGGTTGATATGCCCGAATCAATTTTTTTGAGGTAATTAAATATGATAATGCTTAGTCAGATCCTTGGCATCTCTTCTCTTCTCTAAGATGCGTAGCAAAGTATTGGTGGCTGCATTTAAGATGTCTAATAAATTAATAATTGCGGCGGTTGAATACTTACAAATTCTAATGACCACATATTTTAAATTAAAAATGACATTTACAATCTCCAAGACCACCATTAATTGAATAAAGATGAATTTAAAATTTAAAATCAATATTTACAATAACCTCTATACTTACTCCAGCACTATAAATAAATCATCATTCCACAGCAAATACTACATATGAAGGAATCTGTAGACCGAAGAAAAAGAGATTCAGGAGGCATTGAGGAGTCTATTTGTCATATTAGAGAGCAACATAAACTCTTTGAGGCTACGATAAAGGGACAAGTAGAAGCTCCGGCGGGATTGCAACTGAAAAATGGAGTGCCATTTTCAGCTATATTTGCGAGTAAGTCTTCTTCTTATAATTCTGATAGAATAGTGAATGAATGTATAATCTTAGATTGTGCACCACTGTTTGTATAAAATATAATTTTGCAAGAAACAGCCATTCCAATGAAAGTGACGGAGCAAACAAATTATTATGGTATATTAAAATATAGCTTTTTTAACCCAACAAAAAGAATAAACAGGCCAACACATTCTAACCACATGAGGTACATTATTTTTTTCTTGCAAAATATATATATCATTATATTTTGAAGAAAATGTCATTATCTTCCATTTTTCTGGAAAAAAAAAAAGTGAATAGGATTTTGGTATAAACAACATATACAGACATATTTATTACAAACAAAAGTAGGTCACATTTAGCAGGCTCAAATAGCTCAAATATCACAGTTTCTACTTTTGTTCATAGGCTTAATAAAAATTTGAATAGTCAAATAGCTCAAATATCACAGCTAATACATTAATTTTCAGTTGAAGCAAATATAGTGGTGGAAAATATTAAATGAAGTACCTTACGTTGATTGAATTTCTCATCTAAATTCCTTCGTGGTGTTGAAAATTATATAGTTGTTGATGTAGCAAAAATAAGATGTGAGCTCGGGTGTGTTATGTCGTCCTCAGGGGATTGGGGTTTATGGCACGCAATATGCAATCGCAATAAACTAGGCACTAGCATAAGGAAATCAACAAGAAGCTAAGCAAACTACAAGTTTAAGGAAATGATAGGACTAACACATATACACAAAGATAAACACAAAATAAAGAAATAGGACTCAAGCTACCATTATCTTCTAGATGCATAGCACAACCTAAGGGATTAGGGAGAACAAGTAACCAAGGAATCAAGCGGGAGTGCATGTAGGTATCCTAGTCTACGAACCATTCTCGTGATTAATAAACAAGGATTAGGACAAGGAATTGCCCCACTTTCGTGGTGAATCAATTCCAAGTCCATCAAGCACACAAAACATCTAAAGCCCCCAATTTCCCCTATTTTCGTAGGAAGAAATCGGGTCTATGCAAGGGGTGGCTTGGATTCATCACCCAACTCTCGTTGAGGCAAGGAATCCTCCAAAAACAAGCTAATGAATGTGTACATCAAACATTAACAAGATATAAATATAAAGCCTTCACAAACACATGAACCCTAGGTTAGAATTCTTCCCTTTTTTGCAATAATCACAAATCAAGCATCAAGATAGAAAATACAACCCTAACTCAAGTCCATAAACTAACTACTCATGATTAAATAGCATAAAGAACACAAAAACATAAGTGTAAAACATAAACATTGCAATGGAAAAGAGATAAGGGAAAGAACACTTCTCTAAAGAAATTGATGCTAAATCTTGGAATCCAAGTGTTGAATCCTCCAATACAAGCTTGAAATATGATAAAGAACCTAAATCTACACCTAATCTAACACTAAAATATGAAAGGAAAGAGTAGAAAATAGTTAGGGTTCGAATGGGGTTCAAAACCGAGTAGAAATGAGTGAAAACTCAGCTAAAAAGGAGAAGAGGCGGGGGGCTCGACGCGTCGAGCATTTACAGAATGTAAATCGCGACCTTACTGCCAAGATTCGACGTGTCGAGAAAATTCTCGACGCGTCGAGTGCTTCTCTACAACACAACTCCGACTGGTAGGCTGATTTTGACCACTTTATGCTCAGAATTAGGCTTTGATGTGTTCATGAAAGTTGTAGATCTTCAAGTATTCTTTCCAATGATGCAAGAATAACTTCATTTGGACATTCTTAGGCCGAGATATGATCAAATTACTGAACAGTGGTCAATTTTGGACGAAATCTATAAGTTCGTAACTTCAACTTCAAAGATGATTTTGACCACTGTGGCTTCCTTTTTAGGCTTTGATGTTTGAATAGGAGTTGTATTACTTTGAGTTTTCTTCCCAATGGAACAAGAATCACTTAATTTGGATACTTCTAGACTGAGATATGGCTCGAAAACAGAACAGTGGCCAATCCATGCGAGAATTTCAGCTTGTTGACACTTGTTCCACTTTTGCCTTGGTTTAATTTGTCCATATGATCAACACCATTGAAAGCATCACTCTTTGGCTCCTTTGGAAGTGTTGCATCCATCTCCTTAACTTCACATTGACCCCCCTTGACTCCAAATGCATCCAACATGATCTAAAATCCTTCATTTCTACTCAAAGATAATGAATTGTGCATAATGGATCAAATGAGCAAAATAAAGATCATTTTGAACAACATAGTGACACCTCATAAGCAAAACAAGGCTAAATATGGGATAGACATGGGGTATAAATATGAACAAATATGCACTTATCAATTGTATCTGCAATAGTCTGTCCACTTGATAAGTAAATATAAATAGGACTGGGAGGCATGCAGTGCATGTATTCATAAATAGAAAGTTTTCAGGTAATATTGTCATATTTACATGCTGTATATATATTTTTTTGGGGGGTAATCACACTTTTGGCCCCTCAATTAGTGCCCATTCTGCAATGTCATCCTTAGTTCCCAATTTGAACATAATTGGTCCCTCAATTATTCGACCATTAAGCAGATTTGGTCCTTCTGTTTGTACGGCCGTTTAACACCGTTTAAATCATGGGTAAAAATGGAATTTCACACATCATTGTTTATAATAAGTATTGTTCTTCTCATTCCTCCGCCCCGCTAGCCATTTTTGCCACCAGTTTCGACGAACCCTAACCTTCGATGTCTACCATTGAAACCTTTCCACCTCTTCGAATAGAATACACTATTGAGGACGCCATTGCAATGTCTTCAAGCACTATCGGGTCAACACAATGGATGCCAGAAGTGCGATGTTGGTGCAGCGAAGTTGCTCCGGTAAAGATGTCATGGAGTACTGCGAATCCAGGGAAGAGATATAGAGCTTGTCCACATTATGGAGTAAGTTTACAAAACCATTATAATTAAATACCGGCCAGAAAAGTTACAAACATTTCAGTTAATTTGTTTTTGTTTGTTACACTTCCTATCAGGACAATGGCAATTGTTGGTATTTTGAGTGGGATTGACACCGATGTCTCCAAGCGTCTTCCAGAGTCATTAGAGGGATACTGAAAAGGTTGGATAAGAAGGAGATGGAAATCCAAAAGTTACAAACAGTTATTGAAAAAGAAAATGGTGTGATGAAGAAGATGAAGTTGGAGTCTAAATTTTCATTTTTTATGGGTTTGCATTTGGTATTGCATTTGCCTTGTTTGTTTAGGAATTGGGATGGAAACTGGTGAACAAAGTCCTAAGCTTTTCCAGTTGAAGTAGTATTTAGAAATTAGTGGTAGTATGTATGCATTGTTTTGATGAGAATGGAAGCGATAATTCATTCACTAACAGAATTGTGATTACATTAATACTCTTAGAGAGAGATAGCTAACTAATAGGCTTAAGACTAGATCACTAACTTAAGCTACATAATGTACACAATAAAATACATAATAATAATATAGTCTAATACTCCCCCTCAAGCACAAGGTTGGTGTGGAACCACATTGAGCTTGTCACGAAGAGCTCCGAACCGCGCTGCTGGTAGCGGTTTGGTGAAGATATCTGCAAGTTGATCTTTGGTAGACACAAAATGAACCTGGAACTCACCCGCCGACACTTTGTCCCAGACAAAGTGGTAGTCAAGCTCGACATGTTTGGTGCGGGCATGAAAAACCAGATTCGCGCATAGGTAAGTAGCACCCAGATTGTCACACCGCAGCGTAGGCGCAGTGGTAGGACCTAAGCCAAGGTCCCGTAATAAAGACACAACCCAGGTGACCTCGGCATAAACATCAGCCAGGCCTTTGTATTCAGTCTCTGTCGAAGAGCGCGCAACTGTGCGTTGCTTCCGAGAGACCCAGGAGACAAGATTCGTCCCAAAGAACATGACATAGCCACTGGTGGATTTCCGATCGACTGGACAACCAGCCCAGTCAGAGTCTGAGTAGGCATGAATATCGGAGGACACCAAAGTAAAGATGCGGAGTCCCTATTCCAAAGTACCTTTAATATAGTGGAGGACACGTTTTAGTAGCCCTCAGTGTTCTTCAGTAGGAGAATGCATAAACTGGCAGAGTCGGTTGACAGAATAGGACAGATCCGGGCGAGTAATGGTGAGATATTGGAGGGCCCTAGCTAGCCGACGATAATGCGTCGGATTGGCGAATGAGTCGGTGGACTGACAGACAGGTTGAGTCACTGATGCCGGTGTTGCTAGTGGCTTACAGTCGGTCATACCTGCCCGCTGGAGAATATCACGCATATAACGCCGTTGCGATAGAATCATACCCTCCGAAACGACAAGTGTTTCTATACCGAGAAAGAATGTGGGTTTCCCAAGGTCTCGGATTTTGAACGCCGTAGTCAGTTTCCGTAGCAAGGAATCGACCAAGACCGTGTCATTCCCGAACATAATGATGTCGTCCACATAAACGAGTAAGAAAACCCTGGAATCCCCAGTCCAGTAGTGGAACAGGGAGACATCCGTCTTCGAAGCAATAAAACCTGTGAGAAGCAAGAAATCATGCAGGCGTTTGAACCAGGCCCGAGGCGCCTGTTTCAACCCATATAGGGAACGCTACAAGTGACAGATGTGATCAGGGCGATCGGGATCTTCATATCCCCGTGGTTGCCGCATATAGTCTGTTTCAGCCAGGTGCCCATTCAGAAAGGCGTTGTGGACATCCAACTGGCAGAGTGTCCACCCGCGAGATATGGCAAATGAGAGTAATAGCCGAACCGTGGTCGGTTTCACTACCGGGCTAAACATCTCAAAGAAATCCTCGCCTGCCACTTGATTGAAACCTTTGGCCACTAACCGGGCCTTGTAGCGTTCCACTGTGCCATCGGCATTACTCTTGTGCGAAAAACCCATTTACACCCCACAATGTTCATGTCGGAGTGGCGGGCACTAGTCTCCACGTGTTGTTGTGTAGCAACGCATTGAACTCTTGGTCCATTGCGTCTCGCCATTGTGGATGGCCCACCACCTGAGAATAGCAAGTGGGGTTGTCGGTAGACACAGTAAGAGCATGAAACTGCTCCCCGGTGCCCTGCTTCATGGCCGAAGCCACATAACATGGGCCCGCTCTTGAGGCTGGGCCCTTGGCCCCCGTCTCTTGGTTGTGGGTGCATGAGCCGGTGCTAAGCCCGTGTCGGGACCAGTGTTGGCAGCAGGAGGCCGAACTGAGTCACCGCTATGAAGAACGGGACTGGACCCCCATGGTAAACTGGGCACGGCCTGCTGTGATTCTGTCTGCAAGGAACCCACTGTTGCAAAAGGGAAGTTAGTTTCATCAAAGCGGACATTATGACAGATATAAGTTTTCCCGGTGTTTAGATCCATGCAGCGGTAACCCCTAAAAGACGGTGGGTAACCTAAGAAGACACATGGACTTGACCGATATTCTATTTTATGACGGTTATAGGGGAGAAGATATGGAAAACAAAGGCACCCGGATATGTGTAAGTGGGTGGTGATTGATATAACCGGAAGTATGGTGTATCAAACTGGAGTGAGGAGGACGGTAAGCGATTTATAAGGTACGTTGCTATTTCAAATGTGTGATCCCAATGACGCTGTGGGACAGACGCTTGAGCTATCATGGCCAAACTGGTCTCGACAATATGCCGATGTCGGCGCTCGACACGCCCGTTTTGTTCGTGCGAATAGGCACATGATTGCCTGTGCACAATCCCTAAGGAGGTAAAGAGTTTGTGTAATTTTAGGTATTCCCCCCCCCCCCCCCCCCCCCCCAAATCAGACTGAATGGACTTGATAGAACGTGAAAACGTACGTTCTACCGTCGCCGGAAAAATATCAAATATTTTATAGATATCGGTTTTTCGTCGTAGAGGATAATACCAACAATAGAGGGTGTTATCATCTACGAAGAGTACAAAGTAACGGGAACCATCCACTAAAAGAACAGGCGTGGGACCCCAAATATCAGTGTAAATAAGATCTAGAACATTATTGCTAGACTTAGCTACCCTATCTAAAGGGAATCGAGTGGATTTCCCAAGTTGACACGACGGACACAAACTGGGAATTACATTTTTATTAGATTCAACCGGGTAATCCCGTAAGACGCGTTTGAGAGCTTGACCATGTGGGTGACCGAGACGCTGATGCCAAACCACGGTAGAGGCACGAGCAGAGAAGAACGCATAATGTGACTTTGGAACAGACAACGAGTACAATCCCACCGAGCTTGGACCTTTAATAAGAACCGCCTGTGTGTTGTAGTCCTTCCCAACAAAAAAGGTAAGGTGAAATTCAAAATAGCAGTTATTATCCTTAGTGAAATGATTGATAGATAATAATGAGACCGACAACTTAGGAACATCTAAAATGCAAGACAATTTTATTGATTTGATAACCGAAGGAATTACTGCATGACCCACACGCGAGATTGCCAAACCTGTTCCATTACCCACTCTTAGAACATCGTCGTCGTGGTAGTCCTCGGATTGCGATATCACGCCGGAATCTGGAGTGGCGTGCGTAGAGGCTCTCGTATCCGGTAGCCACGACGTGACCGTCGGCGACACACCTCCTTCACCTGCCACTGCCACGTGCGCTTGGGATGGTGGCGGCTCGGAGTACCTTCGATAACAGAAGGCGGCGGAGTGCCCTTGAGACCTGCAGATCTGACATGCCAAACCTCCACTCCGGCCGCGGCTTCCGCGCTGGTTGCCGCCACGACCTCCTCCGCCGCGAGGCTAACGACTGCCACTGCCCTGTCCACGTCCACCTCGGCCGGCATACAACGCCGAGGGAATGCCGCTCGCCGTCACTGGATGATAGACAGGAAAGTCATCCGCATGGATGAACTGCTGGGCCTGCAAATAGACCGCCAATTGCTGAATCGTCACCGGCGTACCGGTGACCGCCAGGGAGGCTGCCATAGATCGGAACTCCGGCCGCAGCCCCCAGAAAACGTACAGGTTCTGCTCCGACAACGTCATGTTCTGCCCGGCGAGAGCTAGGTCCTCGACCAAATGTTGCGCATGCCCCAAATATTCCGGTGTAGAGCTATCTCCCTGTCGAAGAGATTGAAACTGCCCCATTAAATTGAGGCAACGAACCTGGGAAGACAAACCAAGAGCCATCTCTGCCGCAAGCCACACACCGCGGGAAGTCGCTTGTCCAAGCGAGAGATTCATGACCTCCTCAGAGATCGACGAGATGAGCAAGGATAGGATAAAGCATCCTGCTCGACCCATACTTCATACGCCGGATTCGGTGTAGCGGAGGCAGCTTCGTCGGATTGATCGCCGACGGGGAGCTCTAGAACTGAGGAGGGGCATGGCCGAGTGCCTCAATAAAGCCGAGCAACCGTTGTCCGCGTAGGAACGGTATAATCTGCGTTCTCCAGTAGAGATAGTTCCGGTGGGTAAGTTTTAATGACACAAAATGGTGTGCACTAGGAAGGGAATTTGGGGTGGTGTTTGGGGAGGAGTTGGTGGTGGTAAGAGTACGCTGGAAACTCTGCAACATCGTCGAACGAGAGGGAGAGAGAAAACTCAACGCAGGATTCCTACTAGCTAACTGATACCAGATGAGAATGGAAGCAATAATTCATTCACTAACAGAATTGTGATTACATTAATACTCTCTGAGAGAGAGAGAGAGAGAGAGAGAGAGAGAGAGAGAGAGAGAGAGAGAGAGAGAGAGAGCTAACTAATAGGCTTAAGACTAGATCACTAACTTAAGCTACATAATGTACACAATAAAATACATAATAATAATAATAATAATAATAATAATAATAATAATAATAATAATAATAATAATAATAATAATAATAATAATAATAATAATAATAATATAGTTTAATAGTTTTGAGGTTCAATTCCAGATTTGGTTGAGTTTAATGCTAAGCATATTTATGTATGGAAGTTAAACTTTCTTTTTAGTTGAATGGCAAGTATATTTTTATATCCAGTTGAATATTAAGTATATTTGAATGGCAAGGGATGGTAACCAATTGTTAAGACCCAAAGCTACTGTCTAATTCTTCAATACAAACTGGAAAACTGCACACCAAAGTAGACAAAAGTGTTTACTGGGAAAGTGCCTAACTGGCAACCAATTGTTAAGGCCAAACTGACCTAAATTTACTGACTAAAGGCCAAAGTAGACAATAAATAAACTACCAATCAAAGTACACAATAAATAAACTGCCAATCAAAGTAGACAAAAGTAATTCATTAACATGTTAAACTGAACAAAAGTGTCAATGTTTTGGTTTAGTTATACCAAAATATCAAAGATCAAAGTTTACAAAAGTGACCACTTCTACCAAAATAGACCAAAATGCATCAAAAGTTTCATATTACTACAAAAATACACCAAAATGCACATTCAGTTTTGTTTCTTCATTTGAGTAGTTTTTTTTTTTTTTCCTTGCTTCTCTCTGGACTACATTAGCTTGTTGCAGGCTTGAGACTATTACAAAGTTTTTCCCTGCTCTTGTGATGACAGTTGGAGTAGCACTTCCACTTGGCTGTTGTGAAGAAATAAAGTTTGACAATGGAGGGACTTGGCTCTGAACTAATTGTGATGGCTGAGATGTCATTACCTCCTGCAATTCCATAACAAACAACAGTAAATTCAACTGACTGACAAACTAAAAGTATTAAATGCTGAATGCTGGTCATTAACTTACCATCTCATCAAGTACAAAAGTTGGGACTTGTGTCTCAACTGGGATATCCTCAAACTGGCCTTTAATATGTACATCACCCTGTCCAACTACTACCTCATCCATCTCAGATACCTACAAATCAATAACATTAAAAAACAAGGCAGTTTTATTTACAAAACAAGGCAGGTCCAACTAATACCTGTGGTGGATTCTTTCCTTTGCACGTTGCTTTATTATGTCCTTTTTGCCCACAAACCCTGCACCTTTTGACTTCTCCAACTTTCTTTGTTCTTAGTGCAATGTTGTCTTTCTTGGTTTCTTCAAAAGGGTTGATCTTTCTCTTTTTTTTTTTCTTTTTTTTTTTTTTTTTCAGGTCTCCCAGGTTGTGCCTTATATTTTGGGGGGAGTGGAGTTGGAAGATTGGTTTTGGGCCACAACTCAGAAGATGAAATTAGTAGTATTGCTGGCTCATATGCTCTGAAATAAGAGTCCACTGTATAGCAATTGTGTACATAGTCTTTTGGCATTTCCCTTTGTTTTCTTATAGCTGCAATTCAGACAATTGGCAATCTACTTCCTGTACTTCATCCCCTTCCAGCCCAACAGCAGGATTGACTTGCTTAGAACTAGTCCAGTGTCCATAAGATTAGAGTCTTCCTCACCTTGATCTTCACCTTCAACCTCATCCTCATCTACATTTTCAGAACTCTGGTTTATTCCATCATAGAGTAGGCAATAATCTCCCAATTCTCTAGATATGTCGACATCATAATCACATTGGTCATCAAATAAATGTTCAACAAATATTTCTAACTCCTTGTTGGGTGGAACCTCTCCAACTAAACTAACTATGTTTGCATCATGCAGTAGAGGCTTAAGATCAGTTTTTGTTGACTTCTTCCTACCCTTACCCTTAACTAGAGCCCAAAATTGCACCTTTTTATCAGCATACCTCAATTGTTTTACCATTCTCCTTAAATCTAGTATACTGCCTTCATCACAATTGAAATGGTCAAAGAAATCAACTCCACCATTCATATAACCAACAGTTGGATGCCATACTAAATCCCCACCAATATGGAGTTTTATGCTAAAGACAAAGGATTCTTCACCAACATCTATACAATGCAATACAACAATTAATTGCAGTGAAAATGGTCTACTTCATAGGTCCCAACAACATAGAACAAATGTAGGCACTTTTAAATGCACTTTGGGAAAC